TGTGGTGGAATTCTACTTAACCGTCTTCTTATTTACAATATTTGAATACCCTGCATCATCTTGACCATTATTTTAAAGCAAGGGTGCAAAATCTAGGCAGTGATGCATAGGAATACAATGTTTTAGTCATATGCTGCAGAAAAGTGAATATCTTGACTATTTTTCTGAGACCAAATTAACATGAAAAATCAACTGAAGTAAACATCTTTTACTTCCAGGTCTGATGTTTACCGTTATCCATTATCACAGCTGTTATCAGGGTCCTCTTCTTCTTCCCCTCCTCTTCCTCGTCACATTTCATGTTCAGTTCACTGAAAGCTGTTTGAAGGGATGTTTCCCGACTCATGGGAAACTGAAAATTAAGAGGATATGATTGTCAGCTTCTGTCTTTTCATCGGTGTCTTATTACTCAGTGTTATCACCGGTGCCTCAATGGTCATGTCAGTGGGGGGATCCGGGGGTTTCTCTGTGATTTTCACATTCCTGTGGCAGTGTGCTAGGTGGTTGCTCAGATTTGAAGTTAAAATTTTCGCTGTAGAAAGAAGTTTTCTTCCCACGCAGAGTGCACAATGGATGCTAATGTTTTTGTCACTTTTTATGGAATCAAACTCAAAGTAATGCCTCTGTCAGTGCGCCCCAGGGTGGCTGTGGCTACATGTAGCTTGCCATCACCAGTGTGTGTGAATGGGTGGATGACTGGATGTGTAAAGCGCTTTGGGGTCCTTAGGGACTAGTAAAAGCGCTATACAAATACAGGCCATTTACCATTTACCAATGTCAGTACTTCCATGCTTTAAACGCTGCATGGTCGTACTCTCTCCATTGTTGATATACACACGTCTGTTGCTGCCACGGGTGTTGCACGCGCTTACGTCATTGTCATGAGACACTCTCACAAACAAAAATCAGGGTTTAGTAACACAGTGTGCTTACGGGAAAGTAACAGTAATCTAATTACATTTTTTTGCAATAGTAATCCCTTACATTACTCAGTACTTTAAAAAAGTAATCGGATTACAGTAACGCGTTACTGCCCATCTCTGCCTATAGACATGTACTAAATCTGTTCACAAGAGATGATGAGTGTCCACAGTTCAAGGGAGGGGATTATTTCCTAAAATACCAATTCTTTTCATCTTCAGAATGGTTTTGATGGTGAATTAACGCTTAATGTGGAGTAATGCTGGTTTGTATACTCACAAGGAAGCCGATGTAAATCTCTCCCTTTGATTCACCCACCAGCCACACGCTTTTCTTATCATTGTGGATCACGCAGTGAAATTCAACTTCATAGTGCCAACTGATAACAAGAGACAACCCACATTTAGAGTTACCAAAAACAAGCAACAAGGAATCCATCAAAGAGCTGTTGAACTGGATTTTGGTCATGCAAATATCAAATAAGCATTTTGATCCAAGGTCTGCTACAGTTTGAGGAAAGAAGCTAAAACAGCTTGTTTTAGAATGTAGTCCAGTATGAGAGGATTATTATGCTGAATGGCTGATTAAAAAAAAAAAAAGCATGAAAAATACATTACTTGTTGACTTTATTGTGCCAGCTGCCCTCATTGTTCTTGGGTGCCACATCAAATACTTCTCCAGTTTTGTTCACCCCAAATAAAGCAGTGCAGTAGAAGAGGCGCACCACTGGTTCACTGACTGTGTAGGTGGTTACCTTCACCAAGCT